AAATGGAAAATTCTGCAATTTTCTTTCAAAAAAAAAAAAAAAAAATTTTCTTCGTTCAAATCCAAAAAATAAAAAAATAAAAAAAAATAAAAAAATTGATTTTCTGCACGTTCGAATAAATTCATTTTCTTTCTAATAAAAAAAAAAAAAAAAATGTCACATTACTAAGATATACATTATTGAGAATAATATCAAAGTCATTTTACTAACATAAAAATAAAAAAAGTCAACCACATTACTAAAGATACATAAATAAAAGCACAAAATATCTTTATATAGGTTTTTTAAATAAATATTATTCATATATATAACTCAATAAATTAATATTTATGATCAAAGATCAAGAAAAATTAAGGGATAATTAATTATAGATAATATTTGTTTCAAAATAAATGTAAACCTAATTCTTTTAACGTTCACTTGAATCATAATAGCAATGTATGATATAATAAATAAGAAATGCATGATTAATATGAAATGAAATAAATTAATTCGAATTTAACAAATATAATAAGAGGGTAGTAATTAATTTGCAAATCTTACTGCTTTTTTCTGTTTTTTTTTTTTAAACTTACCCTTATTGTTTACTTAATTTATCATTAAAAAAATAATTAAGTATTATATAATAATTTTTTTTTAAAAATAATTTCCAAAATAGATGAATTAAAATTATTTCAATAAAAAGTAAATTTTTTTGTTTTATTTTCCTTTTGTTAATTAATATGAAATGAATAAACTAAAGTGTAAGCAAAAATTTAAAACAAATGAATAAACGTACGTGACGTGAAAAAAAATATATAATTAATCTTTAATATAATTAATAATTAAAAATATATAACTAATCTTTTTATTAATCGAAAGTATAATTAATCTTTGAAATTAATCCAGAAGTTTATAAAAATAAATATAACATTATAATAAATTATTATTGGATTACATGTAATAAATGATATAATTAAAATGATTTAAAAAAATTTGGCAAAAAAATTTAAAAGGAGAACGATAAATTTTGTCACAATTTGTTAATTAAAACATTTTTAGCAATTTATTATCAATTTTATCACTAAAAAAAAAATTAAAAAAGTGTCGACAAGATATTTGTCTCTTTTTTTTTTAAAATATATCAAAATAAATTAATTTAAATTATTTGTATTTCTTTCCCACTTTCCATACTAATTGTAAAATTTTGAAAATGTTATAAAATAATTGAATTTTAAAATGATTTGAAAAATAAAAATAAGCAGAAATGAGTGATATGCAAAAATGATTGGTAATGAACGAATAAAATTTTTAATAATCAAAAAAAAATTATCATCAAATTAAAATTAAGAAAAGTTACAAATAATATATTAAAATAATTAAAATAAAAATAATACCATCGTGTCCATTTGAAATTTTCTATAATTTCAAAAAATTTCTTATTAAAATAGAGGTGAAAGGTTAACGAAAAGCTCAAATATAATGATTGCATAATTTACACAGAAACAAATATTTTTGCATACTGAAAATATTTCTTTGAGAAAAAAAAAAAATTTGCAAATGGAAAATAAAAAATTTTTCTAATTTTTAAAATTACAAAATTGGTTTACTTTTTATTTTTATTTTTATTCTTATTTTATTTTTTTTTTTTTTTGAAATTTAGCTTACATTTTTATGAAAATAATAACTTTTGATCCTTTCCATTTGCTGTACTTTTAGCTTTAGCTAAACAAAATTTCAACAAACATAATGTAACAAATATCTGACTAATTCTTTTTTTTTCCTTTTTTCCTTTTTTCTTTTTTGCAATTAACAAAGTAAATTTTAACAATTTTAAAAGAAATTATTTGATAAATTTTAAAATATATAAAATGAAATTTAAAAGGAAAGTTTATTGTAGCAGCAAATAATCTTTTTGTATGTGTAATTTGCTATGCAAAATATTATCGTTATTGTTTCATCATTTTATTCATTTTTTTTTTTTTATCAAATTGAATATATTTTGGAAGTAATTTTATTTGACACGTAAATTTTGTACTTTTTTCTTTAAAGAAAAAAAAACTAAAACTTTAAAATGATATATTTTATCATTTCTAATAATTTCTAATAATTTTTATTTATTTGAAATTGTATTTTGTTTCATCTGTTATATGACATTTTGCTAAATTCATAAAATGATATTCTTTTGAAAAAATTTGCAAAAGAAAAAAGTTTGAAGAAAAAAAAATTTAAACAGTTTTTTCTTTAATTGGCTAACTAATTATTTTTTTTTCTCTTCTTTAATTGGCTAATTATTTTTTCTTTCTTTTTTTTTGATAAAAATTTATTCGAAGTAAAAGAAACCGAAAAAAAAAAGGCAAAAATGAAATAAACAAAATGCATGTATCATTGAGAATTAAAAAAAAAAAAGAAAAAATAGCAGATTTTTCAAGATTTATTTTTGAGAAATATTTAAGAATATAATTAATTTTCGTAATTTAAAATTAACGATACATCTCAAAATGTTTCGTTATCATTTCAAAAGGAAAAAAAAACAGAAAACAAAAAAATTCATTTTTTAATTAAATTAAAAGAGAAGAATTTAAATCAATACAAGGTCATTTAATGATTAAATTAAATCAAGCAGTTTAACAAATTTATCATTTTGTGAAATCATTTTCCGGTTACATTCTTACTTACCTGTCGTTGATGAATCATTGCTTACTAACTTACTTACTTACATATTTATTTAATTACCTATATACTTACTTGCTTACTTACCTATCGTTAATGAATTATTGCTTACTACTTACTTACTTACATATTTACTCACTTACTTACTTACCTATCGTTAATGAATCATTGCTTACTAACTTACTTATATGCTTACTTAGTTACTTACTTGTTTACTTGCTTACTTACCTATCGTTAGTGAATTATTACTTACCACTTACTTGCTTACATACTTACTCACTTACTTACTTACCTATCGCTAATGAATCATTGCTTACTAACTTATTTACGTACTTACTTATTTACTTACTTGATTACCTATCGTTAATGAATTATTGCCTACTACTTAATTGCTTACTTATTTAC